AGTCGGATACCCAGAGAAAGAAAAGACGTGGAAGGGAGGTTATCAGAGTGTTGGTGAACGAAACGGAGAGGTTTCACCCCTGTTTCGGTCGAATAATCGTGTCCTCGTCGAAAGCGGTTTGCTCGAGCTAATATTGAACCATCGCCCACGTTCAAAGGGATATGTCGGTGAAGGAATGGTATTGTTGTCCCCTTCGAGGCGATTCTTCTTCGACGCGTGTCACTTTTGGCATTTCTAATGGAAAGATTGCTGTATCAAGTAACATCCAACAAAACTTTCATTACATCATATATACATATATATATTCCTCCCTTATCTTCCTCTTAAAATCGAAATTCATATTCCAAATAATAGTAATTAAATAGTAATTTAATAGTAAATAATAATAACTAATCAACGGATTGATTCCTCTCTGTGTATATTTAACAAAAGAAAAAAGAAAATTTGAATTAACTTACTCTCAAAGAAATTCAATTGCTCGCGCTGAAAAAATGAAAATTAATTATAGAACTATTATGTGATTTATGCAATTATACTTGAAAAATGGTAAGAAATTCAAGTGTCAATCCTGGTGTCATAGCAATCGAAGTCTGTTTTATGTTTCGTTACGCCTGGAAGCTCTGTCCCGCAGTGCTCCTCTCTTTCGTCTCGCAATCATGACAATTTGCGTCTGCTTACGGGGAGCCAAGCAGAGCTGAGGATTCCTCCGGTCCCTGATACGTTCATCGCGTATCGCGGCTTTTTGTAGAATGGAAAAATAAGGTATCGTCAAAGGAAAAGCGATTTACTCTGCCGCAACCGAGCGGGGTTAATACGACCGACGGCATGAAATTGAAATCGTTCTGTGTCGTTGCGCAGAGTGCAAAGAACGTCCTCCGGAAGACGCGAGCGCGCGATTCGGTGGCATCTTTTCTGCTCTTGATTAAAGTTCCGCGCCGATCGCGGCGTTGTCTCCAGGCTCGTTCGTGCATAGAGCAGGATATTACGCACCGGTACTGAATAATGATATTTCGACCGCAGGTGATCATGTTAACCGCAATGATCACGAGCATATCTGAGAAGCAGGTATGTCGCTCCTGTTGCTCTCTCTCTGCTCGACTTAATTGAAGTTTGCAACGGAGTTTCTCAAATTTCGAGGCAAATCTCGCGAATATCCTAGTGTTTTCTAACTAATTTCAAATCTGAGTGATGTTCGATGATATGGACCGTTTATTTTGAAAGTGGTGTCCATTTTTGAATAAAATGAGATATCATGTAATTCATGCTTAATTTAATGTCAATTTTTTGTGTGTAACTAGTCCGTGTTTAATTTCTTAAAAGATTCCCATGTTTTGTGCAATTTAAAATTGCTCGGTAAATGAAATTTAATCATCGATTATGAAAGTGGTGTAAGTCCAATAGACAGAGGTAGGTGGCTTGGCAGGCGGTTCAAAGAGGATTCTTTTGGGCCAGGATATGTTATTCGAGGAGGATTCTGTTCATTTTCATCTTATTCGTTCTGAGGTAGCAATTGTTCACTTTGTCTTTTGGCAAATTCCAGAAGAAGTTTAGTATTCTTTGGCGACGTTTGCTTCCTTTAAAATCAGCTTCTTTAACCCAGACCTAACCCAGACATAACCCAGACGTAAATCAGACCTAACCCAGACCTAACCCAGACCCTAGATCTGGGTTAGGTCTGGGTTAGGTCTGGATTAGATCTGAGTTAGGTCTGGGTTAGGTCTGGATTAGATCTGGGTTATGTCTGGATTAGATCTGAATTAGATCTGAGTTAGGTCTGGGTTAGGTCTGGTTTAGATCTAAGTTAGATCTGGGTTAGGTCTGGATTAGATCTAAGTTAGATCTGGGTTAGGTCTGGATTAGATCTAAGTTAGATCTGGGTTAGGTCTGGATTAGATCTGAGTTAGATCTGGGTTAGGTCTGGGTTAGGTCTGGATTAGATCTAAGTTAGATCTGGGTTAGGTCTGGACTAGATCTAAGTTAGATCTGGGTTAGGTCTGGATTAGATCTGAGTTAGATCTGGGTTAGGTCTGGTTTAGTTAATAATCCAGACCTAACCCAGACGTAAACCAGACCTAACCCAGACCTAACCGAGACCTAACCGAGACATAAACCAGACCTAACCCAGACCTAACCGAGACATGACCCAGACCTAACCCAGACCTAACCGAGACATGACCCAGACCTAACCCAGACCTAACCGAGACATAACCCAGACCTAACCCAGACCTAACCGAGACCTAACCGAGACATAAACCAGACCTAACCCAGACCTAACCGAGACATAACCCAGACCTAACCGAGACATAACCCAGACATAACCCAGACCTAACCCAGACCTAACCCAGACCTAACCGAGACATAACCCAGACCTAACCCAGACCTAACCGAGACATAACCCAGACCTAACCCAGACCTAACCGAGACATAACCCAGACCTAACCCAGACCTAACCGAGACATAACCCAGACCTAACCCAGACCTAACCCAGACCCTAGATCTGGGTTAGGTCTGGATTAGATCTGAGTTAGATCTGAGTTAGGTCTGGGTTAGGTCTGGATTAGATCTGGCTTAGCTCTGGGTTAGGTCTGGATTAGATCTGAGTTAGATCTGGGTTAGGTCTGGTTTAGATCTGAGTTAGATCTGGGTTAGGTCTGGATTAGTTAATAATCCAAATTATCTTAACCCTTTGCACTCAGCAGCAGAGCAAGATGGAACCACGAAAATTATCGAGATATTTCCGAACGATTTCCTCGACAATCGCGACTGACCCTTTCTCTCCCACCCTTTGGTAGAACCACCCCCTTGTGCGGGAGTTCTCCTGTTTTCCTCCTCCTATCTCCAGGGAGCAATAATCGCCGCGAGCTCGGAAAAATTCCGCGACAAAAGTTAAACAAAGCCTGCGAATGAGAAATAAAAAAAATTAGAACGAGGAGCATTCGCGACGTGAGGGGAATAGAGGGATACAGACAGCCCGGACAACAGAGTGTCCCTGGTTCGACTGTAATAAGGGTGACCAATTTTCTCCGCCGTGCCCGCGCCTCCCTGCGTTCGACTGTTTGAACAAGCCTCATAATTAATACGCGTATTCGCTTCTGGAAAACCCACTCGAGGGTATCCGGCTGGCAGAGACATTTTTTTAAATACTCCGTCGCGGATATTTGCTTTTCCACGACGACCTCGCGGTTCCCGAAACAGGTTTCGCGAGCTTCTTTTTCATCCCTCTAGGTGGACGCGTTCCTGTGACTGGGCGATTTTCAGGGTTTTTAACATGGCGAGGGGACAAGTTCGCGATGCTGGGATTTTCATATTTTCATTTATTCTCTGTATCGGAACGTGGGAACGTTTTTTCATACATTCTCGAATTTTTTGCTCGAAACTGGGTAGGATTTCGAGGTTAAGTCTAATGACCAAAAATTATTGTAATTGACCCCCGCAACCAAAAATAATTTTTCGTTTCAGACATGTGCATTTAAAATGCTGTAATGTAATTATTATTTTACTAAAATTTGTATTTCTTTGTTATATCACTTCATAATAAAAAGAAAATAGTTCGCTGTTCGTGACATGTACATATTTTTTACCGGTAGTTAGACTTTTACGAAGATTGATATATAGTTAACCATGGTGGACGATTTTCACTGTGAACACTGTAGAAATTGAACTAGACTAAATTTTTATCCGCGTTGGAATGAAAAATCGCGCTCTATGCAATTGTCGCCAGTGTTGTAGGGGGGTGGAAACGCTCTGTACGTAGAAATCCAAGCAGATTTCCTCGTTCGACTGTGCTCTCCGCCTACGATCGCGTACCTGGCTCGTTTCGCGGGAGATATCTGTCTTTAAGAGCATTATCTGGATGGCAGACGGGTAGGGGGACGGCAAAAACCGTCCGCCCTCTCGTGGTATGTGAAAAATGATGCACAACCCCAATCCCCCGACACATCTCCACCCCTCCCCCCGGCCCGGAATGTCCCGAAGGAAGCGTTCCTCCTCGTCGTCTTTCTGGTCCACGGCCCCGAAAGACGTGTCACGGGGCGAGGTTGCGTTATTCGAAACGATTAACTGGCTGACAGTGTTCGTAAAAAATAATCCCGAAAATATATTTTTAATGCCGCGGGGGATTTATCATGCAAGGCAGGGGGCGGTTGTCGTTTGAAACGCTCGTTCGAAAGGGATTCGGGAAAAGTAATGACTCAGACTGGCGGATGTTTATGCATTTATGGGAAATTTTAGTTTTCAAAAATCTACAGAATTTAGTTAATATTGCAAGAATATAAGAAACCATGCCCCGTCTCGGCTTTGTGCAAAAGCAATTTATGACATATTTTTTATTTTTTTTTTTTTTTTTTTTTGGGGGTTACTCACTGTGTGTTTGCAGTACCGCGGTTTTACTCCCTATAACCTGCAATTAGTATGTTAGGTTGGTGTTGTTGTGTAATGTTTTATCTAATTAGATTTCATGTTTGGAGTTAGAGGGAAAAGTGAATTTATGACCAGACGATCGTCCTGACGTATATATCCGCGACAATGCAATTCTCTCGCGAGAAAGCGCTCGAGAAGCTTCGCCACCTGGCGGTAACATCGCAGTACTGCTACGGGCATGCGCGCGCATGTAGACTGTCGTATATAGGGGTCACGGTGGTCCGCCAAACAGACGTACACCTGAAATCTTTGCACATAAATTACGTGTTAATAACGCGCTTCTGAGACATGCTACATAGGCGATGCCCATCATAGAGTATGCAAAAATAACGTGTCAAAATTTGAGGAAGATCGGTTCAATAGGCCTTGAGTTTTGCGCGAACATAAAAATCTCTATAGATACTTAAAGTAAGGTACGAATTGAGCTACGAAGCTCCAATTTCACATCAATTTTATTAATAAAAATATGAATTTGCATGAAGATCCACAGTCTAGTGACGACTGTTTCAAGATGTTTGAATGATCGTTTTTTTCTTTCTTTTTAACGATATTCTAACGACTGTTGTAATTTCTTGTTTCAGGTACGCTGAAGTGTTCTCGAAAGCACCGCCAGTTGGCGTTCGAAACGCCACGCTTCTCTGCGAGCCACACAAAGGGTTTCTGTATCCACCCACGATTAACAACGAATTGTAAGTAATTTTTCTGCTTCTTTGTTTTCTTATCGAATTGAAATCCCACCCACTTTAGAGAAAAAAATTCGAGCAGATACTGAAACTTTTAGACGAAATTGAAAAATATTAAATCGTTCTAAAAAAATTATATTCGGTTGCGAGGGTCAATTACAATAATTTTTGGTCATTGGACTTAACCCCGAAATCCTACCCACTTTTGAGAAAAAAATTCGAGAATGTATGAAATTTTTCGACAAAATTGAAAAATTTCAAATCGTTCTGAAAAAATTATTTTCGATCGCAGGGGTCCATTACAATTATTTTTTGTCATTATACATAGCCCCGAAATCCTACTCACTTTCGAGAAAAAAATTCGAGAAGGTTTGGAATTTTTCGACGGAAAAAAAAAATTTCAAATCGATTTGGAAAAATTATTCTCGGTTGCGGGGGTCAATTACAATCATTTTCGGTGAATAGACATACCCCTGAAATCCTACCCATTTTCGAGAAAAAAATTCCTAATCAAAAATGTAATTTATGTTGCCTGAAAATTTCATGCGAATCTTTAAAATGTCATAACTTCTGAACGGATTGGTGGATTTTAATTTTCCAAAAGGCAAACAACGCGTATTTTGGTGTAGAATATGTAGAAAATATAACAATATTGAAAAAGTTGTTCCTTGACCCTGTAAAATGAGAAAAACCCAATAAAAATGGTCCAATTTTCAAACGACCATAACTCCTACAATAGTGGACGTATCGTATTGAAATTTAGTAGAGAAGTAGAGCTGATGGATACCTACAAAAAAGTATATATATAGAAAATTGTGTTACTAGTGAAAGTTGAATAACTCGATGCAACTAATTTGATGCACTTTTGTGCATTGGTGCATCATAAAAATGCATCTTTTTTTAAAAAATGGAAACCTACATTTTTGACTGCACCAATCGATGCAGTTTCTTATGCTCTACATAAAAGTTCAATGATCAATTTACCCGTTGCAACTAATTCTATGCACTTTTGTGCATTGGTGCATCAGAAAAATGCATCTTTTTTTAAAAAAATGAAAACCTACATTTTTGACTGCACCGATCGATGCAATTTCTAATGCTCTACATAAAAGTACTAACACACTTATGCCCTAAATTCATTCGTTAGGAAGTTATTGATGGTAAAAGTTCAATAATCAATTTCCCCGTTGCAACGTTTTTTCTTTCAAAGAAAATTCCGAATGTCAGCACGAAGAGAAGTCGACTGTATTATAAAACGAAAGTGAGTGACCTCCTGGCACCGCTTTCTTCCATTTCTCGAAACCTTCGAGCTCGCGTGACGTGATGGATACGCGAAAATGTCACCAGCACGGCCTCGGGGGCCAAACGTGGCAGACCCCTCTGACCATTATGCTAAACCATTGTCCACTATCTGCCTAAGATAGCTGTTCACCCTCGACTGTGTCGAGACCCGTTAAAAAAATCATTTTTCCCCGACGATCTTCGACCTTTCCTCTCGATTCTTGGCCATCGATCAAATTATTTGAAAACAAACTCGATAAATAAACTGTTTCACAAAGGTAATTTATTAAACTCGTCTACTTTATTTATTAAAGGTCTACTTTCACTGATGGTTTATAAAAAAAAAACATCGAAAAATTTCTACGAATATGCGTTATACGCGCACTTTCATGATGCGCGTATTCGGCCCGCGCGATACCTCGCCCCGTAGCAGTACCGCGATGTTACCGCCAGGTGGCGGAGCTCATCGAGCGCTTTCTCGCGAGAGAATTGCATTATCGCGGATATATATGTCAGGACGATCGTCTCGTCATTAATTAGTTTTGCACAAGGTCGGGCGAACCCGAGACGAGGCATGCTAGTTAATATATATATGTATATTGCCTTATAATTTGACAAAATTTTGAGAATATTCCTATTTAGTTAGCGTGTTAATTTTAATTTTGACATTACACATGTGAAGGTTTAATTACTATGTAACGAAAAAATCATTGGTCCAATTTATTTGTATCTAAATAATCGATAATCTGCAATGGACGTTTTATTTAGATTTATTGGATTAATTATCACGAGTGTAAGTTAGCTGGAATTATATTGAATAAACGCGGGCGATATCCTGTCTTCGTGTTCCTTTTTTCGAATCCCGGACGAGTATTTCTCTGATTCCCTCGATTTTTCTCTGGCTGACGATGCTGCATCCGCCATTATTCGTGCGTTAGGCAAATACACGAGGAGAGAGGACAAGCTCGTCCAGGGGGCGGTTTTTGCCCCGTGAAAATTCAAATGAGACCGCGCGGCATATTGCGCTGAATCGAAATTAATGTCGCGCAACTAATTATCGGTCGACAATCATCGTCGTCCCGTATCAGTTTGTCGTTCGTCCCGCAGCCTCCATAAATTTCTGCTCACGCCGTCGGGGGGACGTATCCGACGCTAATTTTTATTATCCGCCAGGCGACAATTTCAAATTAAACCGTTTAACGAGCGTTGGTACACTTTTTCTCCGCTACGCGGCGCGACCATCGCGTTCCGTTCATAAACGCGCGTGGTATTCTATAAACGTTGCTCACATCGGTACTTTCGACACCGTTTACAGAATCTGAGACGTTAAATTTGTTTATTCGAGCCTGAAGATCAGGTTTTGTCGGGTGATAAATACCGAAGGTTGGTTAAAATATATTATATCTGTGGTTTTTAACCTTCTTATTACTTGGGATCCATTTTGCAAGTGGAATGGAGCTCGTCTTTTAATGCGATGTTTCTCAAAAGTAGTGTTCTTAATACGTGATGACTGTAAAGAAATATTATAGATAGTAAAATGGTAGAGAATGTTGTAATTTATATAGTAGATATGTCTAATAGAGGTTTCAAATTAGAGCTCTATGATAGAGGTACTCAATAGAGCTCTATAACAAAAGTACCCAATAGAGCTCTACAATAGAGGTATCCAATACAACTATTCAATAGAATGATCTAATAGAGCTATCAAATAGAGGAATCCAACAGAGCTCTATAATATAGGTATCCAATTAGAGCTCTATAATAGAGATATCCCATAGAGTTAACCAATAAAGCTCTGTAATAGAGGTACTCAATAGAGTTCTATAATAGAGATACTCAATAGAGCTTTTTAAAAGAGGTACTCAATAGAATTCTATAACAGAGGTACTCAATGGAGCTTTACAATAGAGGTACTCAATAGAACTCTAGAATAGAGGTATCCAATTAGAGTTCTATAATAGAGTAATCCCATAGAGTTATCCAATAGAGCTTTATAATAGAGATATCTCATAGAGTTATCCAATAGAGCTCTATGATAGAGGTACTCAATAGAGCTCTATAACAGAGGTACTCAATAGAGCTCTACAATAGAGCTATATAATAGAGGTATCCAATACAACTATTCAATAGAATGATCTAATAGAGCTATCAAATAGAGGAATCCAACAGAGCTCTATAATATAGGTATCCAATTAGAGCTCTATAATAGAGATATCCCATAGAGTTAACCAATAAAGCTCTGTAATAGAGGTACTCAATAGAGTTCTATAATAGAGATACTCAATAGAGCTTTTTAAAAGAGGTACTCAATAGAATTCTATAACAGAGGTACTCAATGGAGCTTTACAATAGAGGTACTCAATAGAACTCTAGAATAGAGGTATCCAATTAGAGTTCTATAATAGAGTAATCCCATAGAGTTATCCAATAGAGCTTTATAATAGAGATATCCCATAGAGTTATCCAATAGAGCTTTGTAATAGAGGTACTCAATAGAGTTCTATAATAGAGATACTCAATAGAGCTTTTTAAAAGAGGTACTCAATAGAATTCTATAACAGAGGTACTCAATGGAGCTTTACAATAGAGGTACTCAATAGAACTCTAGAATAGAGGTATCCAATTAGAGTTCTATAATAGAGTAATCCCATAGAGTTACCCAATAGAGCTCTATAATAGAGATATCCCATAGATTTATCCAATAGAGCTCTATAATAGAGATATCTCATAGAGTTATCCAATAGAGCTCTATGATAGAGGTACTCAATAGAGCTCTATAACAGAGGTACTCAATAGAGCTCTACAATAGAGCTATATAATAGGAGGTATCCAATACAACTATTCAATAGAATGATCTAATAAAGCTATCAAATAGAGGAATCCAACAGAGCTCTATAATAGAGGTATCCAATTCGAGCTTTGTAATAGAGATATTCCATAGAGTTAACCAATAGAGCTCTGTAATAGAGGTATTCAATAGAGTTCTATAATAGAGATACTCAATAGTGCTTTCTAAAAGAGGTACTCAATAGAATTCTATAACAGAGGTACTCAATGGAGCTTTACAATAGAGGTACTCAATAGAACTCTAGAATAGAGGTATCCAATTAGAGTTCAATAATAGAGTAATCCCATAGAGTTATCCAATAGAGCTCTGTAATAGAGATATCACATAGAGTTATCCAATAGAGCTCTATGATAGAGGTACTCAATAGAGCTCTATAACAAATGTACTCAATAGAGCTCTACAATAGAGGTATCCAATACAACTATTCAATAGATTGATCTAATAGAGCTATCAAATAGAGGAATCCAACAGTGCTCTATAATAGAGGTATCCAATTAGTGCTCTATAATAGAGACATCCGTGTCTCATAATAGTTTACTTTCAGAACTGAGGTATAACATGCATATTTTTATTGTTTAAAATTTTAGTGGACAATGTTGGAAATGTTTCGAGAGTCACTGTATATAACGGAGCTCTGCCTCGATGAATTATTTACTTAACAATCTGCAAAGGATGAAAACGCGCACAGAGTCGGTCTACGAGCGATAGCCAGGGGCGTATTCGCGCAAGGCGGAATTCACGATTTTCCGGCAACGGCGTAGAATCCGTGATGGTTTTTGCCCCGTCTCCCTTAATTATACCGCAAATTAGAAATTTCTTGCCCGCGCAGCGGCTCCAGCTTTTTGCCCAGCGATTGTTCGCCTGATCCTGGCGTGGTTCCTGAAGCTCCGCGTACCGCACCGGCATCTCGCACCGCTATGATCAATAACACTTTGAAAAATCCCGCTAAATACCTGGCGTCGTAATATTTCGTTCGACGAAGAGCACTTGCAACACCCTATACACGGTGTCCATCTAGAAATCATTCGTCAAATTTCATTTGAGAAATAAGGTAACTGAAAAATGGAAATTACGTGACCCCCTAGAAAATAAACTAAAACCATCGTTTTCATCACTGATCCTTTTCATTTCACCACTGAAATTTGCTCGTTTTGGAACTTCGTTTTCGAGAAAATCGAGTTTGATCGTTCATTTTGTATACGTGTAACAGAGTTCGATTTGAACTTTGGCGTAAGCGGAAACAGTATTCGATTTTCCAAATTCAATTATCTTCTTATTTGTGAATAAGACTTTTCGAGCTTACAGTTTAAAATTTGCGAAAGAAAGGAAATTTGAAATGAAGAAATTTGATTCGGATTTTGATTATTTATTTAATGGATCGTTTGTACTTCCGTTTGTTGTTCATCGAATTGTAATTATATCTAATTGTAATTTTATTAGAATTATTTTATTTTTTTTAAATTTTTAAGGAAAACTACGAATCTTTTTTAAAAATTCTAGGAATATTGTACTTCCAGAATTTGATACTGCGAAAATTATGAAAGTGATGAATTATGATGATGAAAATTATGTGAAAACTTTAAAGACACATATATGTTTGTGTGTTGGTGTTTTATATTTACTAATTTATGTTTCTAAATTTTGTTGCAGATATTCCGTGGTAACTGCCGAGGAGTGGTCAAAGTTGATGCAGTTTTACGACGTCGACTATCCAGTCATCATCAAGAAGAGTGGCTGCGAGTTTTACACAGATCCGAGTGAGTAGAAACATATTATTTTTTCTAATAAAAAATTTCAAATAATTTTGAAAAAATTATATTTAGTTACAGGAGTCTATTACAAGTATTTTTGGTGAATAGATATACCCCCGAATTCCTACCCAGTTTCGAGAAAAAAATTCGAGAATGTATGAAATTTTGTCGACAAAATTGAAAAATTTCAAATCGTTCTGAAAAAATTATATTTAGTTACAGCAGTCAATTATAAGCATTTTTGGTGAATAGATATACCACCGAATTCCTAGCCACTTTCGAGAAAAAAATTCGAGAACGTATGAAATTTTTCGACAAAATTGAAAAATTTCAAATCGTTCCGAAAAAATTATATTCGGTTGCGGGGGTCCATTACAATTATTTTTGGTCATTATACATAGCCCCGAAATCCTACACATTTTCGAGAAAAAAATTCGAGTATATACTGAAATTTTTCGACGAAAAAAAAATGTTTCAAATCGTTATAAAAAAATTATTTCTTGGTTCTGGGATCAAATACAATCATTTTTTGTGAATACGAATGCCCCGGAAATCCTACGCGCTTTCGAGAAAAAAATTCAGGAAGGTAAAAAAAAAAAGAAAATCAATGCAATTTAAAACATAATTTGAATAAATCAGAATTCTATGGAACATTTAGGTTAACAAAGTGCACGTTAATGAAATAAACAATAATATCAATAAATTTTGTTACCAGCAAATCCCAACGCCTATTTTAAATCTACGTTAACTAAAAAATAGGGCAATTTAAACGTGGATAGAGGAACAAACAAATTCAATTACACTATAGTTGCATTTTATAATTCTGCAAGTGTATGATATCTCTTTGGTTTGGACTTGAAAAAATGTCGAGTGGGACTTGACGAAGGTGCTCCTGAGATCAAAATTGATGTCGAATCACACTCGACATAGGAGTGCAAAGGGTTAAGATAATTTGGATTATTAACTAATCCAGATCTAACCCAGACCTAAACCAGACCTAAACCAGACCTAACCCAGATCTAACTCAGATCTAAACCAGACCTAACCCAGATCTAATTCAGATCTAATCCAGACCTAACCCAGAGCTAACTCAGATCTAATCCAGACCTAACCCAGACCTAACTCAGATCTAACTCAGATCTAATCCAGACCTAACCCAGATCTAGGATCTGGGTTAGGTCTGGGTTAGGTCTGGTTTACGTCTGGGTTAGGTCTGGATTAGGTCTGAGTTAGGTCTGGGTTAGGTCTGGATTAGGTCTGATTTACGTCTGGGTTAGGTCTGGGTTAGGTCTGGTTTACGTTTGGGTTAGGTCTGGGTTAGGTCTGGTTTACGTCTGGGTTAGGTCTGGGTTAGGTCTGGATTAGTTCTGGGTTAGGTCTGGGTTAGGTCTGGGTTTGGTCTGATTTACGTCTGGGTTAGGTCTGGGTTAGGTCTGATTTATTAACTAATCCAGACCTAACCCAGATCTAACTCAGATCTAAACCAGACCTAACCCAGACCTAACTCAGATCTAATCCAGACCTAACCCAGATCTAACTCAGATCTAAACCAGACCTAACCCAGACCTAACTCAGATCTAATCCAGACCTAACCCAGATCTAACTCAGATCTAATCCAGACCTAACCCAGACCTAACTCAGATCTAATCCAGACCTAACCCAGACCTAACCCAGACCTAAAACAGACCTAACCCAGTTCTAATTCATATCTAATCCAGACCTAACCCAAAGCTAACTTAGATCTAATCCAGACCTAACCCAGACCTAACTCAGATCTAACTCAGATCTAATCCAGACCTAACCCAGACCTAACCCAGATCTAGGGTCTGGGTTAGGTCTGGATTAGGACTGAATTAGGTATGGGTTAGGTCTGGGTTAGGTCTGGATTAGATCTGAGTTAGGTCTGGGTTAGGTCTGGATTGGGTCTGAATTAGGTATGGGTTAGGTCTGGATTAGATCTGAGTTAGGTCTGGGTTAGGTCTGGATTAGGTCTGAGTTAGGTATGGGTTAGGTCTGGATTAGATCTGAGTTAGGTCTGGGTTAGGTCTGGATTAGATCTGAGTTAGGTCTGGGTTAGGTCTGGATTAGATCTGAGTTAGGTCTGGGTTAGGTCTGGATTAGATCTGGATTAGATCTGGGTTAGGTCTCATTTACACTATTGTTGCATTTTATAATTTTGCAAGTGTATGATTTGGTTTGGTTTGGATTTGAAAAAATGTCATGTGGGACACAGGAGTGCAACGGGTTAATACAACGAGAAAAAGGTAAAGAATAACAGAAAAGGTCGATCGTGTCGCAATGTTCGATACATCCGTCTCTCGTCGTGTACGAATACCAACCAGACAGTAGGAAATCGTACAATAATCGTTACGGTACGATCGTCCATAAGAAAAATCCAGTGGCAGATATTGATGTCCGGCGATTACCAATTAGACATGACGAAGAGATTACCCGGTCCCGCGTTCTCTGTCACGTGAATACACACGGACCAGGGAAAAAAGTGACGGTGTAACGAATCGTGGACGTAAATTGAAAAGATTGTAACTTGACTATAGTTGCACATGTGCGACGCGATTGGCGTATCAATTTCCTGGTAAAGTGCAGACCCCGAAGACCGATCGCGCAATTAACGGCTTTCTCTTTATTCCATCCTGGGACCGTTCGATCTTATCGGCAATTAATTTTCGTAGGATTCCGGGGGGATCATTATGTAAACGATCGTCCCTAGACGGATCGTTACTGGTACTCGCCCCCCTGTGTTTCTCCTTCTTTTCCCCTCCCCGTGTGTACGTGCACGGTCTAATTATAATTATTGGTACACTGTGCAGATACTCGACGCGTCGGTGATTTTTCTTTTTTGAAACCACTCTCGATGCGTGGAGAATAAATTTGTGACTCAATCGAACCCTGTAGTTGGATACTTTTACCTCTGTGATTGGGTTTCACTTCCTTTTTGCCCTCTGCAAACTTCGTTAGAATTGTTATAAATAGACTGGCGGATATTTATGCATTCATGGGAAATTTAGAGTGTCAAGAAACTGTAGAAATTGCATTTAATGTGCAAAAATATAACAAAAACTCGAGTAAGATAGGAATTATTGTATTTGGGGGTTGAAAGAACCCTCTACGAAGCTCTTATTTTAGTAATTTTATTAATAAATATATGAGTTTGCATTTATTATAACAGTAAAAGACAATTACTTAACACATTACCGACCGATAGCCTATTAATCAACTGTTTTACCGACAAACGCTTACCGACCGATAAAACAGTTGATTAATAGGCTATCGGTCGGTAAGCGTTGGCCGGTAAAACAGTCGATTAATAGTCTATCGGTCGGTAAATTGTTAAAAAGCAATAGAAATTTTAATCAGAATGTATAATAGTTTACAACGACATTCTATAAATAAATAGAAGTGCAAATATATTTTTTTCCAAGCCTTAACTCTCCGTCATACTTAACGGGAAATATATTAGTTATGACAATCTTCAGAAAGCAATTTTACAAGCAACATTGTACTTGAATAATGAATCAGAGTTGAACGCACACGTTGAGGCGTGTTTAGGTGAGAAAGTGTGGGTGAAAGTGCGTATTTTTTCTACTTTCCCGCTCCTCCCTCGCGGGCATCTAACCCAAGGAATAATGCCAGAAGACATTAGCCGTCGATTTACATAAATCTCCTCCGCGTTTGTTTCGTTGGATTCTCTGGCAGATCCCAAAGTGTCTCATTATAATTAAGAAGTATCCTGAAAATTAACCGTCGGAAAAAGCGTCATTGTGGGGAGAGCGGGGTGGATGGTGCCAGTCGAAATGGGGTTCTAAAAGTTTCTCAACCCCTAGTCTTCGCAATTGCTCTTCGTTCTGAGGTCTTTAGCGTTTTAACAGCCACGAGATCATTGTCCAATTCTAAATTGCACATATTAACGAATTTTTAATTGATTTTAAATATTCATAGCCTGTGCTAACAATGAAAAATATGCAGAATTTTAAGAATTTGTACAATAATATTTTGTGTTGCATAAATATATGCAGGAAAAATTTTTAGGGGAAATTTTGGAGTCCAAAATAAGACGAAAATCAAGAATATAAATTTGGTGATTGAAAAATTTCAAATCGTTCAGGGAAAATTATTTTCGGTTTCAGGGGTCATTTATGATTGTTTTTGGTCAATAGACGTACCCCCGAAATCCTATCCAGTTTCGAGAAAAAAATTCGAGAAGGTGCTTAAATTTTTCGAAGAAATTAAAAAATTTCTAATCGTTCTAAAAAAATTATTCTTGGCTAGGAGAGTTAATTACAATCATTTTTGGTCAATAGGCATACCTCCAAATTCCTACACATTTTCGAGAAAAAAATTCGAGAAGGTATAAATTTTTTTGACAAAATTGAAAAATTTCAAATCGTTCTGAAAAAATTATATTTGGTTGCAGGGGTCCATTACAATAATTTTTGGTCATTATACATAGCCCTGAAATCCTACACATTTTCTAGAAAAAAATTCGAGAAGTTGTACAATTTTTCGACAAAATTAAAAAATTTCAAATCGTTCTAAAAAAATTAGTTTTAGCTAGAGGAGTCAAATACAATCATCTTTGGTGAATAGACATATCCTCGAAACTCTAACCATTTCCGAGAAAAAAATTCCTCACTGAAAATATAATTTGAGTCCCAGAAATGCAACTCCAAAATGTCATGCGTATCTTTAAAATGCCATAACTTCTGAACGGATTGAAGGATTTTAATGTTTGAAGTGGCAAACAACGCGTATTTTAGCGAAGAATACGTAGAAATTCTAACAATATTGAGAAAGTTGTTCCTTGACCACATAAAATGAGAAAAACTACATAAAACTGGTCCAATTTTCAAACAGCCATAACTCCTGCAATAGTGAATATATATGAATGAAACTTTTTTCAGAAGTAGAGCTCATGGGTACCTACTAAAAAGTATTAGAGAACTTTTCTATAGGGCGTCAAACAAAATTATTAAAAATGAAAAACGAAT